ACCATCTACGCCCCTCGTCACAGGACCCGTGCCTTCGTATGCGCCCTCCATAATCATCTTGGCCCTCGTCGTCCTCAGCTTCTTGTTCGCCAGTCAGGATGCCATGAGCTCTGGTGTTATCTACATGTTCCAACACTTGGCCGACCACCCAGAAATTCTCGCCAAGATCCGAGAGGAGCAAAAGGCTATTCGAGGTGGCGATTATTCCAAGCCCATGACTCTGCAACAAGTCGACGAGATGGTCTATCTCCGTGCCGTTATCAAGGAGAGCTTGAGGCTGAAGCCCCCAGTGACTATGGTGAGCAGCTATGACCCGATTAAAAGATAGTTTACTTACATGTTTCTTTTAGGTCCCCTACAAGACTACCAAGGCGTTCCCCATTTCAGGTGATTACACTGTCCCCGCCAACAGCATGGTCGTCCCATCGTTGTACCCTTCGTTACACGACCCCAACGTCTACCCCGACCCACACTTGTTCTTGCCCGAGCGCTGGTTGGACGCCAACAGCCCTGCCAACACCAACCCCAAGAACTATTTGGTGTTTGGTGCCGGTCCTCACCGATGTATCGGCGTCGAGTACACCAACATTAATATGGCATGTGTGATGGGTAACGCTGCCGCGTTGATGAACTGGGAACACATTACCACCAAGGATTCGGAGGAGGTGCAAATGATTGCCACGTGAGTACCTGCACTTTAGAATAGAGAACGAGGATGCTGACCTTTTCAATGCACAGGATCTTCCCCAAGGACGGATGCCTGCTCAAGTTCGAACCCCGTACGGAGGCGTAATGCAGGGTCGGGGAGGATGGACGGGGGACCAGCTTCGCTCTTCGGAGCCGGAGATTACAAACCCCGTTCCCCTCTTTTGAACCGTTTACGCACATATACGACTGTATCAAACATTAAAAGAAAGAAAAAAGGGTTTTATAAACTGTTTTCCAAGTCATTGAAAACAAATTCGTTCGAGAATTTGCTGGGACAAATATATACTTGAGGGCTGGGTAATATGTGGTCGAGAAAGCTGGTTGGTTGAACGGAGGAATATGAGATGTGTTATTTGTGACTAGAATGGAGCGACTAGGCTCTTTGTGGAGCTTTGTTTTTTGATTATTGGTGTATGTAGCACTCGCGTCTGTATTTCCACAGTAGACGCGAGCAATCGTTCGAATCATCCAGAAAGCATTTGACTCTTCACCTTGTCTGATCACTTGTCTGATTCTTAATTGAGGCCGTCCGAGTGGTGGTCCTGCGTCCTAGCGTCTATTACGTGTGACCGGTACATACGTTCTCCTCATCTCCGGCATATTCTGGGATACGAGTCAGACAGATTGAGAAGAGCTGCGTAGTCGATCACTGTTGGTCGAGATGACTTGACCGGGGTGCCATCACTTGCTTGATAAGGTCGGCATTCGATGCCTGGATAGACGCTGACCCAATGCATCTTGATCTCTGCCACTAAAACACCCCCACTCGACCTTATTTCCTTTTATTCTAACCTTTCCTTTTTTTCCTTACGCAAGAACGTTTTCGAACGAATTATTACAAGTTATAGTGTGGATATCACTATTTCGCTATCCACAACCTATTTCTCTGATAATTAATCAAGACTACAACCAAGGCATCGACAACCTCGTCATCCCATCAAGACTATCGCATCCAACCAGCATTTTTTCACCTTGAACGAGTCCAAGGTCCATTTTCCACGCCCAAATTAATCCAGCATTATTGCCGTTGATCGTCGTCATCCATCGCTCCCTAGCACTCACACCAAACGACTATTTACTCACCATGATTGAGCCAATTGACGAAAAAGAAGCCCGATCTGACCACCACTCACGTCAGGGCATGCGCAAACCAGGCGACCGTGCCAAAAAGTTTAGCAACAAGAACACTCCTTCCTCCTCCCGACCGAACAAGAACCCCAACTCGTCCAACGCTTCAGGCGGGAGTGGGTCGGTCAACCGTACTCACGGCAAACGCGTCAACTTCCAGGGTGCGCTGAACGTCGACGACTTTGGCGGCTCCCAGTTCACGTACGACAAGCGTACGGGGAGCGGGAGTGGTGGAAGCGGGAACTATATCGATGAATACGGGTATACGAGGAGAATGGAAGATGAAGTCGAGCATGAGCTCGAAGAGGAGACTGAACGCGAAATGGACGAGCGGGGCCAAGATGATTATGGAGGGCGCATATGAAGGCACGGGTCCTGTGACGAGGGGCGTAGATGGC